AAAGCAAACAATAATCAATGGCAAAATCGTAGCCAATAGGAAGCAAAACAGCTACTACTGCTACTCTACTCACACCGCTGGCAATGAGTCGAAGGGAACAGGGCGACCCGGAAGTGGGCAGTATCAATGCCAACATGTCAGGGAACGCCCCCCGCTGCGCACCAAAGCCTTATGTAAGATGCCCTCAAGTGGATAATTGCTTAACAGACTGAAGCGCAGCACACCCCCACAAATCAAAGGATCTCCACCTGCTACACTCACAGGGACACTGCAGTCCCCAGTATGTGTGGGTGATATTTTCCAAGACCTACTGCAAATAGCTGAAACTGTGGTTAATGGCGATCCATCTGTAATTCCCATATATAAAGTGATTTTCGTGTGCATACATATGATAAAGTTTAACTGAAAAGAGAAGATATTTTTAACAATGTATTAAAATGAAGTGCACCAAGTAACAATGATTCCCTGCCTTTCATCTTGTAACCGGTCTCATTTGGGTCTCTGTTTACGACTCGATCGTGCCAAGCGAGTCCAGTTAAACCAGGGCAAGACCATGGACAGCAGGGAGACCACAAGATGAGACTGCATACATAAGAAGAGGCATAAGACAGACTTTTATATTGAGGCTGTGTAAAGGTTAAATCTCTGGGCAGGATTTGGGCCTCCAGCACCTGAAAAGCCAGGTTCATGACCACCACAGACTCCTGCCTGAAGATACGTCCCTCTGCCCATCCACCACATCAGCCATATAGCCATGTGATTACAAACTGTCATCACTCAAAATACATAAAATCCTAATTATTCCTTTTAAATTCCCAGTCAACTGCATATAAAGTTTAATTTTACCAAAGTATGACTTCATCTTCTCACAAATTGGACGCTAGAGGACCTCATGTCTGTAGGGACAGAGATGACACAGCAGATCTCGATGGTCAACAGCACAGTCTAGGAGCATAAAAAGGCCAGCACAGAGGTTAGAATCCTACTTTGGATGAAAATGAAGAATTTATATCATTAGGCACATTCAAGCCCTGTTGGACAGGCTGCTCATAGATTGTCTTTCTAAGTAATCACATTATATTCCAGCATTTAATTTAACTTAATTTTTGCTTCAGAATATTTTTGTTTCTTTTTGTTTATTGTAGATCAACAGTTGTGATTGGATGCACGACTAGTTAAAAGTACGAACTCCAATGAAGTGTGTCTGACCTGATCCTGGGGGCTTAGTTTCATTTATGCTTCATAACAAAAGAATCATATTTAAAAAAGTAAGACCTGTCTTATTCAGATTGTCTTTTGAGCATCAACAATGGAAAATTCTTCTACTGAAATTATTTTTTTCCTCAGTGGTTTGAATGACACAAGACGAAACAAATTGATTTATTTTTTCTGTTCCTTCTTCATCTACTTGTTCACAATTTTTGTGAATATGACTCTGGTTGTGACTGTTATGCTGGACAGAGTTCTGCATGAGCCCATGTACATCTTCCTCTGTAATCTGTGTGTCAATGGGATTTATGGTGCTACAGGTTTCTACCCCAAGATTCTGCTGGACCTCTTGTCAGATTCACATATTATCTCATACAATGCATGTGTAACTCAAATTTTCGTGGTCTACTCTTTTATTCTATGTGAGCTCGCCAATCTGACAGTGATGGCTTATGACAGGTATGTTGCAATATGTAAACCCTTGGAGTATCACCCCATTATGACCACAGGGAAGGTAGGGAAATTACTCCTGGTACCCTGGCTGTTATCTTTTGTGGAGATTTTAATTGCAGTTCTTCTAATGGTCAGGCTACCTTTGTGTGGGTCCAAGATAAATAAGCTTTATTGTTCAAACTGGGATGTGGTGAAGCTCTCCTGTGTAGACACCAGCATGAATAATTTCTATGGATATGTAATGGCTGTTACTCATTTTATCCAAGTACTGTTGATTGTAATCTCCTACTTCCACATCGTCAGGACATGTGTGGGATCAAAAGCAGAGCAGAACAAGTTCATGGAGACCTGTCTACCTCATATAATCACTTTGGCAAGCTTCTCGCTGACTGCTACAATTGATATACGGTTCATTTCCAACGGAAACCTACAGGCTCTCAGTAATGTCCTCTCTGTAGAGTTCCTCGTGACTCCTCCCCTGCTGAACCCCCTCATTTACGGCTTCAAGCTGAAGCAGATTCGTCGCAGTGTCTGGAGGCTGCTCAGCAGGAAAGTCAGTGCACTGACATAGATTCCAGAATGTTCTTCCTCTAATTTAACAATATGCTGACAGATACTGAAAAATTGAATTGACCCTATTTGTGTAACCATTGCAATTTAAAAAACAGTTATTTAGCAAAAACAAGGCAACCTCAAATGCGTTTCACAGAATTTCGTTTGCTGTGACTTTGCTGGTGACGATCAGCCTTCTCACAGCTCAGATATAAAAAGTGAATGTCCTTGCTATTGTGCTCCTCACAGAGACAGTGCCCCCTGGGCAGCACACACTGCAGACTGCAGTGACAAAAGCTCTAATCAGCACTGGGGTCTATTGCTTCCTGGGGGTGTTAAAATACAGTCATTTACTAGTAACCAGTGGTGGAAAGAAACAAAATACAATTGCTTCATTTAAGTACTTGAAATACCTGTACTTTACTTAAGTAGATTTAGTCGTGGACACTTACGGCAATATTTATACTTTATACTCTGCTACATGTCTACTTAGCGTTGCATTACATTTTGCAGTTTTTTTAATTGGGTGCCGATGAAGAAAGCCAGTGATAGGACAGAAATTGCAGAGATTTTCTCATTAAGCATCGCAAAGCAAGAAGTCAAGTGTCAGAAATTTCAAATCCTGTCACCTCTTAGATAGTTTTATAAAGCAAAATGAACCCTTCGGGTATCATCTTTTTTTTTTCCTGTTGGAGCAGCCGATTGCTATACAGATTGTACTACATACAACACCTTTTGATTCATTATGGAAATTGGCTCTGGAAATGGCTATAGAGGTGATCCTGGGATGTTTGTGATCAGGATAACTTATTGGTGAATTGTGGATAGCATGTCGATAACAAAAGCTTAACAAATAACAAAAACGATAACAAAAAAGTGTTAAAATCTGCAACCTGTGGGCATTGGCTGGTAAGTTGTATTTGACCATATATGAGATATGATCAAAATCCCATATCCTGATAGCAATACATATCACGATACAGCACAGTTTCTGTATGCGCAGTGAAAATCAGCCGGTGCTGTGCTGTGCATTGCGCACATGCGCAAAATCTATTGCACATGCAGCCGCAGTTTGGGCAGACAGTGGGGGCATTCACACAAATGTCCTGCTTCTATCCGTGTCATGTATAAGAGTGTGATTTGTGACAAAACAAAAATAAATGATACATATAATATGAAACGAAATAAGTTTTTCTGTCGTCACATGATATTTATCGTCATAGCGCACAGCCCTACACATATATCAGTGCTAGAACTATTTTTCACCTGTGTGGCTGAGATCATGTGCTCAGCTTAGGTGTGCTTATCAGCATTAACCATTGTTCTGTCGATATATGCTGCCTTGTCGAAAAATGCTACCGTAGTGCTAATCGATAGCCCTAACCCTAACCCTAAACCTAACCCTCCAAAACCCCTAAAACCCTTACCTTAGCCCTAACCCTAACCCCTAAACCTAATCCCAAGACGGTGGAACTGCATATGCTCAGAAAGGCTCGATAGCACGTCTCGATAGGTAGTATTTTATAACAGAACAACCACTGTAGCTGGTTAATGACGTAAACTTAATTTCAGTTAACAAAATGCAATATAAAAATTCTGAAATTCTTATTATAAACTATCTGTCATGACCTGCTCGTCCGATCCTCGTTACCTCATGTTAATTCCCGATTGTGATCACCTGTTGCCTGTTATTTTCAGCTTGTACTGTGTATTTAGTCCGCGTCTGAGTCCGTTTCCCCAGATCCGTCATTAATGTTTGTCGCCGTCTGCCCTGTATTTCCCCGTAATAAACCCTCGTGTCCTGAATCCTCGCCTGCCTGCCTCGTCCTTCCCCACTTCCTGCCTGCCCGTCTACCACGGTCATGTTTTAAATGTTTAGATTGGAAAATATAACACTATCCGACCTGAACTTTTGTATTTAAGAATATAAACAAAGTACAGTGGTACCTCAGTTCTCGAACTCATTAGAACTCGAATTTCTTAAAAGTCGAACCAACCAATTCGAAAAAAAAATTACCTATAACTCGATCTGAATCTCA